GTAATGGTAATTCAGCCATGCTGTACCAAAGCAGTATTTCCCACTGGGTTTTATTGATGGACAGGTGGCTCAATATTACTGGGTAGTCTACCTAAAAAGTAAATAAAGTAAGCTCATGGGATGTTCTGCACATTCAAATTAACACTATTTGGGAAAGTTATTGTTTCCTTTTTCTAGCTGTAATTATATTAACAGTGGAATTATTACATTGGTCACATTTATATGGAATTCAGGCAAAGTCTTCATGTTCCTTCCCTCAGATTTTATACGGAAGGTATAGTAATGACATACAGTTGTTATGGCTGATTTGATCTAATAGCTTGCTGCCTCCAAAAAGGCTGCAACCGTCATTCCATTTTTCTCTTCCCTTTCTCTTACCCCCACCCCCAGTAAAGAGACATTGCTTTTTCACATGCCCTTATTCCATTTCTTGTTGGATGCCTTCCTAAGCTAATTCAAGCAGCAAAAAACTTTCTTTTTCCTGGTTAGTAAGCTGGATTAGCTCAGCACAGCATCTGACAAAAGGGACTGTATGGCAGTGAGTAATTAGATCGTCTCGAGCTGTCTCTCCCCTCATGTTTTCCAGTTCGTCAGTGTGAACGAAGAATGCATAATGAAAGCTCAGAGCAAGAAACTGCGAAAGCAGTTTCAAGCCCTGTGGGTGCTGAGATGAAATGATTTGGAGGGTACGATAATTTTCACTAGGTGGTAATAGCAGCAGGGACCTTTCTGAGAGATGCTGATTCCTAAATCACCAAGGAATGATGGTCATTTCCTCCATTATTCTTCCTTCCTTCTCCTCCTCTTCCTCTACCCCGATTCTCATGTCCTTCAATGGGGTAGGGCATGAGGACTTGAGCAGCTGCCCTGAAGTGCCTCTGTTGAGGATTCTTTTACTCATGCTCGAACCAGCTTTAGAGATAGGCTAGTGTCTGCTCTGTGTGGTATGCTGTACATGCATTTTTCCTTTACTCAGAAATATTTTTTGCAGCCTGTGAACAGAGAATAAGTCATTTGAAGCCATTAGTCTTTAAAAACAACAAGCCAGAACAGTTTAGTATTTAAACAGCAAATCTTTTAGGAATCAGCTGAGCAAGAGACTATAGGTGTGATCACAGCTGCTGAGTGTTGTTGCAACTCTTTTGTGCAGGAGGTGGAGACTTAATTAATTGAATTTGATATCTGAATAAAGTTTCAAATCACAAAACAGTTATGTTTATGCTAATGCAGTTCACATAACCAAACTTACTTTTTTTTTTTTTTAAGAGTTAAAGGGTGATCTGTTGACTGACCAAAGATCTTGAATGTTTCCTTTGATAAAAATAACTGTGCCCTTTAAAAAAAAAAAAGTATTAATAAATAATGTGATGGAACCTAAATTTAAGACTAGATATTTACCATAGCATCTGTCCCCTTGAATAAGTAACAGATGGGACTTCAAGGAAACTCATAAACTTTATTCAGAATGTTTTTCCTTTGTTAGAATACTTGTCCGCAATGTGTTCAAACTGAGTTTCTGGTTTTTTGAGTCATTCAGATGGGAATATATAAATAGCAAGAAGCAAAGATGGTGGTTTGAAAAGTTTTAAGAGCCATGGCAGAAGTGGAGATAAATTCTTTGCTTTATCTCTACATATACTGCTCTGATACTCTCATGAGCTTTGATATCGCTATCTGTTCCTTTACAGATGAGTGGTAGTGAAAGAAATTAGTATTACTGCATCATCAACATTTAAGAATTCAGTCATACTGTCATTTTCAAAGCTTAGGAATTTAAGGTGGTACCTTGCCTCCTGCTGCTGGTTCCTACCCTCTTACTGGACCTTGCTAACAGGCAGTGGGAGAAGTTGTAGTCTGCTTCAGTGCAGCAGCATCTGGCTTAGTTGGAGTCTTTGTTAATTGGCTGTAATGGCAATTGGTTGAAAGGGTAATCTTAATACTCAAATAAATGTTTGTTTCAAAAAATGCTAATATATAAGAAAGAAAAAGGTAACAGGACTTGTTATGCCTCTGATTGAATGTCTACCTCACAGTAATAATAAACATGCATACAAGAGCATGATTAATGATTCTGTTTAGAGAGAAAGGAAGTGAAGGAAACAAGTCCTTACTTCTAAAAGCCGGAACAGAATTCTTTAAACTTCTGTGAAATACCAATTTAACTATTACTTACACAAAATATATCTGAAGTGCAGTCTCTTTGCAATGCAACTTGAGCATGAAACTGAAATATGCCATTATTCCACTAAATTTTTAGAAATGCTATGTACAGTGATTTCATCGTACTTTGAAAATTAAGAATGATTTCCACCGATTTTGGAGCAATAAAGTTTAAAAGGAAAGAAAAGATATGTGTGTGTATATGTTTTGCAGGATCCTCAAAGTTATCTCCAAGTGCACGTTGTTTTTTACTGATGGAGTGTATAGAAAAATAATAGCATTCAGATGCTTATGGTAGCTAGAGAACAGTAACTATCTTGGATTATAGAGGTAAGGTGCAGCAAGTTTTAAGTCAAATGAACTTGGAGGTTGCATTTAGTGCTTGGCATTTATATAAAGCAAGCTCAAGGTTGAATGCAGCATTCAAGTTGTAAAATGGATGTAGAATGGGTAAAAAAAACCTGCAATTACTTCAGTGACGATCCATTCAGGTTAAGAATTTTCATCTTTGCTGTTGCCATAGCAATCTGTTCCCCTGTCACTACCACATTAAAAATCCATTCTGTAAAACTGTTGTTGCCAATATTGAACACATAACAGACAAAAACATTTTTTTAATAGCTTAGGTGTCTTATTTGCAACAAGAAGACGACCTAGATCTTAGAGAGATGCATATGTACTTTAAAAAAAAAAAAAAAGATTAGCAGTTCTATAATACGCTGTAGGAGCACAACATTTTTGCTGCAGTATTGCTGTCAGTATAAAATAGTTTGCAAATAGTGTAACAATGCAGTGTCAGTTGAGCTCAAATAATTGAACTGTTCTGCTAAGACATAACAAGTCCTTATGTTCCTGAGGTAAGTATTTATTTTGGTAACATGCTGCAGTGAAAGGCTTTGGAAACTATGTGGCTATTTCACCTTTTGCTACTCATTGAACCTGATTCTCTTCAGTGATTGACTTCAGTGGTTTTATCTATACTAGCGTAATTCTGGAATGGGAGGAGAGTTATGTCCCCTAAGAATTTTACCTATGAGATCTAATCCTAAGTTGTTCAAGTATCCAAACTCAACAGTGAGTTTGTCCAAATAATGAATAGCAGGAACAGGTCCTTAAGCTTTATTAATACATCTAAATGAGAGTGGAAAAGAATTTATAATTCAAGCATAGCAAGAGGCAGTCTGACAAATATATTTACCCAAACTGAATAAAATGTAAATATCTTTCAGTTAAGTGGAGATACTATTCTATTCATTCGAGGCTGAAATGCTGAAGTATACTAAACTCGCAAATGTGTATAAGTCACGGATTTAAAAACTCAGGTGTTGACTAAAAAAGTTATAAGGCAATAGACAGAAGGAAACTGAATGTGTGGCCTTTAGTCTGGTCATCAACACTGTAAACATGGTCTTTGTTTCTGCCTCAGCAGTCTCTTATCCTCTAACCATCTCCAGCCTTCACCCTTTGAATTCCCATTCTCTCTCTATACTGTACGTCCTCTTTTCACTTTTTCCATCTTCCCCTTGCTATTGTCCCTGCACTACTCTCACTCTCGGTTCTCCTTGAGAGAGCCTTGCTCTAGGGACTTTGTTGATTTAATGCAGGGGAAGCATAGGAGAAGAAAATACAGCAAATTGTTGCAGTGCTATTGGGTGTTAATAGAAGAACTCAGGGTGAGAGGTGATTTTTTTTTTTTTTTTTTTTAGCTGCACTTGGCAATGTCTCCTAGATTTTTCCCTTTCCTTTTGGTTATGCTGGAGGAACCGAGCTTTGTCTTTTAGTGCAACAGTGTCCTCCTATTTTGGGGCTTTGGGATTGGTTTTCTTTTTTTCTTTTTTTTTTTTTTAATCATCATATTCTTACTGCATAAACTCTGCCCACTTATAAGGATTCTGTCGTTTGCTTCCCCTCACCTGTTTGCAATTCAAACCGTGACCCTTCAGAGCACGCTGTCTGCCAACATTTCCCCACGAGCTGAGATTTGCAGGTCACCTGCTCGGTGGGCCTGCTGTGGTTCCTGTCCAAGAGCATCTGTGGCTTGCTCATGCAAAAAAGACTCCCCCAGCATGCCAGCTAGAGGTCTACTCTGCATAGGTCACTGAAGATAGGGGATTGGAGGTGGTTTGTATTGCAGCCATATGTGTTCATTAGCCATTAACTCCTACCAATGGGTGATGCAGCAGCTGCAGTTCCTGTTCCAGTTGAGGACTGGGTCTGATGCTTGCAGTAGAAGGTAGCTAAGGGTCACGAGCTCCCAGATGCTTGCTCGTAACAAGTGCTGCTTGATGTAAAGTTTAGTGAATTAGGCAGTGGAAAATATGCCTGATGAATTTGTTTATATTTGAAAATTTTTCTCAGTATGAAGATAGTAAATCTGGCTTAAATCCATAAAATCAAATCAAAAGAATTCTGAGGCAAACCAAAACTTGACTCTTAATTTTCCCCTATCGCTGCACATTTCAGTACTACTTCCACATTGTAGGTGATTCAGGGGGTCACTAGAAAAGCCCAAGAAGACTTAGAGAGAGGAGAGATTTGAAGTTATCTTTGACTTTTATGGACCTTTTTTATTAAAATGCTTAGAGCTGTAAATGTAGTAATAAGAAACTCATTTATCTTGACAAAAGTGCTGCCATAAACTATTCAGCACTCATAAAATAACCTTTTAAATTATTGTTTCTGCTGGTATCGATAAATTCATACAAAGTGCTTAAAGGTCAGGCATTGCCAGAAAAATGTCTTTTCAGCTTGTTAATTAAAGGTTTATAAGAACGTGCACCAGCTTGCTCTTTGGACAAATCAGGGAAAAAAGGAAGGAGGAAAAAAAAAAAAAGCCCCACATGAATGAAAAGCATAGCATGGAATTAGCGAGGGACAAGTGCTGGATCTACCAGGCTCGCTATGGCAAGCCTGGACAATTTGTGAGTAGTTGGTACTATTGGTACTGTTAACATGAGGAAAAAAGGTTATTTCCCTTTTTAGAGGAGAGGGATCTTGGAGTCCATAGGCTTGAGCTGAGGACCTGACTAGGTCTGAATTATTAAGGTGAGTATGAGCAGTGTTTTTCATGGTATAATTTGAGCAGCTGGGAGTTTATCCAGTTCCAATCGCCTAGCCTCTAACATGAAATAAGGACATTTACTTTTTTGTTTGCCAAGCAGGTGGCTTTATCTCCTCTTTTATTTACCAGTTAAACTGGAGCAAAATAGTGTTCTGAAAAGCTGCAAATGTACCCAGCGCCAAATTGCCCAGCCATCAGTTCTAACTCCCACGACCTCGACCTCGGTCGTTCCAGAGACTATAACAGTGATTCCCAATTTTGTTTACTTTACCCACCTTGACCCATCATCATGGAGACATCACGGTCTGATAACTAAAATCTGACCTAAAAATTAGGCTACTCAGATTTGACTCTGCATCAGCAGATGAGATGAGGTTAATCAGTCATGTGGATGACACACTGGATAAAAGAAGTCTTCCTCATGTTTCCACCTGTGCAACAGTCTGGCTCTGACAACATTATTTTACCTCTGAACCTCAATTTTTTCCATCACTAAAATGGAGACAGTAATACTGACCTAGGTGAAGTACCCTGAGATAAAACATGGAATATGTTACAGGAAAGGCACAGAGTTTTCTGTCATTGAATCGTACTGATACAATAGCTTGGACTATTTATTGTCCGAGCTGAGAAAAATAATGAAACAATGTAAATAGTGAAAAATAAAATAGATTCTCAAATATTTTTTGTCTCAACCTATTAGAGTCCTGTTATTAATGTGAGCTTAATATTTTGGATTGTCCCTTGACCATATGATTTTTATCCTGACATTGTTTCCTCAAATATTAAATAACAGATCTTTACTATAAAAGATTTGTAAACAGTAGGCTGCATCTTTGTCACTGAAAATTTCATAACCTGAGAATGCCATAATTTGTTTTTGTTCTCTTGAGATAGCTGCAGTACTCCTACTTCAGGAAAATAAATCTCAAGAATTTTTTTGAGAGTGCAGGTGACAGAACTAATGATAGTTCATTTCTCTGATATCCTTAGACAATAGATTCTGGCTTTGTTTTCAAGTGAAGCTAAGAGAACGGTACGGTTTTATGGTGTTTCTTGTTTCTTCTTTCACTCGCATTCCTTTTGGCTCAATCGTTCTGTGTTTTTAAACATAATAGAGCTGGCACAGTAACGCATGCATAGGCTGAGATGATCTCCTTTCTCACAGGAGAGAAGCATTCTGTTTTAGACAGATTTATTTTTTGCTTGTGATAGATATTTGTAGTAGTACAAGGAAAAAGATTTATTACTTGGACACATGGAGTTTTGTGTATTCTACCCATTGATAACCTTATCTTATCTAACTTCTGAATAATTTGATTCTTACCTTTATAGTCAATTCCCAATCCATTCAAGGTCAGCACTTCTGATTTTAATATGTGGTATTCTGTTGGCCAGTCTGAAAATCCCTGCAAATCCAGTCATGTCTGTAGGGATATGACTGTCAGACTGTGTGTTTTCAAGGTCTGTGGTAGCATGTATAAAAAAGATGAGAGGTGCAGCCACACTTTAAGCACAACCTTCTGGAAGGAAGGACTTGTTTTAACTTGCCATAGAGGGAGCATCTGCACCCCAGAGAAGTTGCGGGGCCCCTGGAGAAAACTTGGGCGCATTACATTACAAACGAAATCTCATTCTATTTATAAAGAATGTGGGGATGGAGGGAAAATGTCGATCATATTGAGCACAAATTTTCAGCTTTTCTAGTGTGGGTTTGAAAATTCATTTTGGTGTTCACCTTAAAACCAAAATAACTGGACTGATTTAATTTTACTTCATGCCAGTATAAAATGGGAAGCTGTGATGGGTTTAATGAGTCACAATAGTAGAAGGTAGCAGCACAAGTTTTCCTTCTCTCCAGACCCTGCAGGAATTCATCGTATCCTCCTTCCCAAAGTCTGAGACAGTGATGTGGTAGAGAAGCAAAGAAGTCATTCATTTGGATAGTTTATAGGATCATTCCCGATTCTTTTTATCCCATGTTTCACCCCTGGGGGGATAACTGCAGTGGAAACACTCTCTTCTCTTCCCCGTTCTGCTGCCAAGACTTTCACTTAGGCAGGAAGGTGTAACTTGCTTGTCCTTGCCTCAATGCTACTTTTGTTCTTCTGCTGCTCAAGATAGTATTTGAATGGAGTGTGTTTTCCATGGATAATCCAGGGTACTGATAATTCATGAGTATTCAGGAAAAATTATCTGCATGTTTATAACTGTACAAGTCTCCTATTTGGTTAACTCAGCCAACTCTTATGCACATTTTGATTTTTTCTGAATACATAGCATCACAAACCCAAACATCTCCAAGAGAAGTGGTAGAACTGAAAATATAAACTGTTTAGGACAAGATTATTGGAGATATTCTTCATAAAAATGCATAATATTCTTATCAAACACTCTAGTTAAAATGAAGTAGATTGTTTTACCACTCTGTTGTTGCAGTCTGAGAAGAACGTATCAACATGAACCTGAAACAATTTCTCCTTGTTTGAACTCTGATTACATTATATTTATTTTCCTCTTTATTTCATTTCCCAGTTGGGGTAGTAGTAACGTACTTTATCTTTACAGGCTGTGATCAGATATCTTTGTTTTGAGGGGAGATGGACGTAGAGAAATCCAATTGAACCTGTTTTTCTTTCCTTATTAGACATTTCTATCAACCTGATAAGTTTTGATGGCCAGAGACTAAGGGTCTCTTGCTGTTACAATGACAGTCATCCACTTGCTTATATTGCTATGTCTTCCCAGCAGCAATTAAGAAGGGTTAGATAAAAGTTACAAAACCTGTTTTAAGAGTACTGGCCAGTTAACCAAAATAGGAGTTCTATGTGGGAGGGTGCATGCATGAAAGAGAGCAAAGGGGAAAATTTAGGAATGTTCTTCAGATTTAGGACCCAATCTTACCTGTGTAAATTATCTGTCCCTTTTAGTGCAGAAAATAAGTACAAGTTATTTACAACATCTCCAATCTAGTACTATCAGAGTGTCTATGGATGACGCTTGTAAAAAGATGTGCCCTTCCGACCATCTACAATAGAACTCATTTGCATAGATGTATAGCTATCTTTATCACTATAGATACATGAAAAGTGAGCAAAGGATTGGCACTATCTAGATATTTTTAGGGAGGAAAAAACTCATGCATACTTGATTCTGTATCACAGAACCATGTTTTGCTCACCACTCTCTTTGTATCCAACTTAATTGACAAGGCATAAAGATAATACTGGGTTAAAAGTATCACTTCACTATCCACAAAGTAAAATTTATGTAGTCTACAACACTGTATTTGCTTATAGAAGGAGCTAAGTCAGGTCTCTTAGATAAGATTCAAATAAAATTGTTACACAACTAAGAAGGGTGAGTAGAGAAAATAAACATGAATCATAGTAGTTGCTCTGTTGGACTGTATGGATGCCATCTTAGCTGAATGTTATGTTACGGTGTGCTATAGTAGATTGATAAGTAGCTTTCAGTTTTAATAATTCAGTATTTACTATTCACTAAGACACAGTGAACACTCCTTATGACCCTGGCTACCATGAAATGCATCATTTTACCAGAGCACGTTTTGAAGTTTTACATGTTATACCTTTCTTCAGATCTCTTCTGAAAACAAGCTAGTGCCTACACAGCTTTCAGCCATAGCAGCACACTTGTATTTTCCCTGTGTGCCAAAAAAACTCAATGATGAGAAATATCCTTTGCACTCAGACTCAAAAAATGCTCTGAGGAGACAATAGACTTTAATGGTGCTTTGAAGGGAAGGTTAATGAGAAGGAAGATTTCTTTCAAAATGGGAGAGAGAGAGCTTCAAATGGACTGAGGTATTATCCCCTTTTGTTATGAGTCAGGGGAAGAGGCAAACAAATAGCTGAAAGGGAATTGCTGGTTAGGGCAGAGGATGTCCGGGGAAGCTTTGCAAGCGTTTCAAACTGTGTTCAACTGTTTTCTTCCAACAGACTTTGGGAACTATCACTGCAGTGCCCATTAAAGTTCCTCAGGTCAGCTCCTTGCAGAGGTTGGCAGGACAAGGACCAGCAGTGCTACCTCAGGTACAAATACAATTTCAAAATTCGTTTTGTCATTTTATGTGTATTCTGCTCTGTTCCTGTCTGATGCCCAGGCCGGTGTAGTTCAGCACACTTATTTGGCTGAATAAAGCCTAAATTATTTGATGCTCTTTATTACCTGCAGTCCACCTTCAGTGAGAGTTGAACAGCAGAGTTATGAAAAATCTATGGAAAAAAAGAAAAATCCAGCACAATGAAAAGCCATAAGAAAATCCTGTGGGTTAGTTGCGATAGAAGAAAATGAAGGCTGAATATATGCTTTTTATAAGATGCATCACAAATCACTGTTGTGATTCTGCAGTTCTGTAATTAAAGAAGAGGTGCAAGTATCAGTCTTTGTGGTCAAGATTTAGACTTAAATGTTCTCTTACCAGCTTACTTGCTTTTTCCCCATCTATCCCAGTATAAAGTTTTGGGCCAACTGATTGAAGTAATCTGAAATGATGCCAGACTGATGCAAGATTGGCTGGGTAGGAGTGAAAGTGTGAGGAGATTTACACTCACAGATTTTCTTAAAACCTTTTTATTTTTTGAGCTTTTGGGGAGGTTGTTTTGGTTTTTTTCTGAACATCAGGCAAGGGTTTCCTACCAATATACTTTGTACCCCATTTCTATCCCTTTCCCAAAATTTTTGAATATCATTTTCAACACATTTTTTGTTGTGGGTTTTAGTATTCTATAGTTTTCTTTTCAGACTTAGACTCATGATTATCAAGTGTGAATGTATTTCTTCCTGTGTGACTGTTAGAAATCTTTCTTATATGTGAACGATTTTCTAGCATTAAAGTCAATATTGGCTTTTCCTATGTTTCCTTTAAATTTTTCCTAATATTTCTTTAGTGGCAGAATCTAGAAGCAGATATATGAGCTAAACCTGCCTGAAGAAAGGTATATTTCCAAGATAAAGTTCTTAAATTCTCTCTTTAAATTGTTCTTTTTGTTGAAAGTGAAGTTCTGAACATAGAAGAAGGTTACAGTTTTCTTATCAAGTTCAAGACTTTGCTTTTCAGTTGTTCTTATGGCATGTCACATTCATTTTTGCCATTCTGAGGTATCAAAGAGGAACAGATTGTTCCTGAAAACAGATGAGGTTCAAGAACAGCTGAAAGACCTGTAAGAGGGACTTTAATTGTTTCAGCAATGATGATGGCATTGCAAATGCTGCACTTAGAGAGGCATCAATGTTCTATACTTGAGTAGAAAAATTTTCATTCAGTGTTAGATTCAATTCTGAAGAATTGAAAGAAGTGGAAGATGCTGATTTCCTGAACTTTTTGAAAAGTACAGGTCCTTCTGTCTTTCTGTTTAGTTCATGGCAATGTTTTTATTTATATTCCATTTTGTTTCACGTGCTTCCTAGCAAAGCTTTCAATTTCAGGCCTCTTTGTGTAATGATATTTAATACTAATGAAATAACAACCCTTCCTCAGCAGTCCTGAGCTGTATTTCACTAAATTTTGTATTTCATATAGATAGCATGGGAAATAACCACATAGCAGACTGATTACTGTCAAAACTAAAAATGAAGTAGGTAGCTTTACGTAAGACCACATTATCAGAGCTACTGCTCGTCTTCTGAGTGTTTTTTGACTTCTCACAAGCCAGAAGCACCTCCTTCAGGAACTGTCTGCTCCATTTACAGACTGTGTCCCTCTCTCCAGTTCATCACAGTCTGCATGTTCCTCTTCCTCTCTACGTTTACAGTGACATTTAAAATTTCCATATTACAGAATCACAGAATCACAGAATGGTTAAGGCTGGAAGGGACCTCTGGAGATCATCTAGTCCAACCCCCCTGCTCCAGCACATTTCCTGCTAGAGCACATTTCCTAGGATCACATCCAGACGGGTTTTGAATATCTCCAGGGAAGGAGACTCCACAACCTCTCTCGGCAACCTGTTCCAGTGCTCAGTCACCCTCATAGTCGAGAAGTTTTTCCTCAGGTTTAGATGGAACTTCCTGTGGTTCAGTTTCTGCCCATTGCCTCTCGTCCTGTCACTGGGCACCACGGAGAAGAGACTGGCCCCATCCTCTCGACACCCTCCCTTCAGATACTTGTACACATTGATGAGATCGCCTCTCAGTCTTCTCCTCTCCAGGCTGAACAGGCCCAGCTCTCACAGCCTTTCTTCATAGGAGAGATGCTCCAGTCCCCTCATCATCTTGGTAGCCCTCCGCTGGACTCTCTCCAGGAGTGCCATGTCTCTCTTGTACTGGGGAGCCCAGAACTGGACACAGTACTCCAGGTGTGGCTTCACCAGGGCTGAGGAGAGGGGGAGGATCACCTCCCTCGACCTGCTGGCAACACTCTGCCTAATGCAGCCCAGGATACCGTTGGCTTTCTTGGCCACAAGGGCTTATTGTTGGCTCATGCTTAACTTGTTGTCCACCAGGACCCCCAGGTCCTTCTCTACAGAGCTGCTTTCCAGCAGGTCAACCCCCAGCCTGTACTGGTGCATGGGATTATTCCTCCCCAGGTGCAGGACCTTGCACTTGCCTTTGCTGAACTTCAGGAGTTTCCTCTCCGCCCAACTCTCCAGCCTGTCCAGGTCCCTCTGAACGGCAGCACAGTCTTCTGGTGTGTCAGCCACTCCCCCCAGTTTAGTATCATCATCATATGGTTTCCTACTGGAGAAACCACTCCCCCCAACCCTCAAAATTCTCTTCTTGATGTTTTAAGAGAGATCAAATTTTCATTTACCGGTGGAAAATTTGGCTTCTAATTAAATAGTCAAATGCCTTCAAAATATATTTGATATGGCCATAACTCAGTCACGTAAAACTGACATTCCCCAGATATAGCTAGATGCCAAGGTGATCTGTGAGGTCAGTGTAATGCAGCTGCAATATCAAATCACTGAGAAAGCTCTTTGTAAGTGAGTGTATAGTTATCTCTGGCAAAGTTTGAGGATTGATAGGAATCTGTGGTCCAGGAAAATTGGAAACTTAAGATGGGAGTGTAAAAGTGTCAGGAGGCAGTACAAAGGTATTATGGGAAATAACACATCTTCTGCCTTTGCCTCATATGTCTGAAAAAATGCCAAATTCAAAGTGATTTTTTCACTCTATTTGGAAATTAAGAGAATTTTAATATCTTCCAGAAGGAGCTGGAAAACATGCAGGAGTGAGCCCTGTCATAGTCCGTGTCCTCTCAGCTGCTGTGCATCTGTCCTGGTTACAGAGGAGGCTGAGTACTAACCTCTTTTTTTCTCTCCTGGGTAACAGGCATGGCCTCCTGTACCTAGCTCTGAATAAGGTGGTACAATTCTGCTGTTCTAGGACTGACTTTCTAAGAGGCAGCTTTGCCACTGTCTCCCAAACGTATTAGCAAGCAGGGCCCAACTGAGTTTGGTCTGTGCTAAAATCTTTATTCTGGTTGCGTGTGTAGCAGCAAATTAAAAGGACAGCTATTTCAAAACAAGTCATTATTCATTACTCCCCTATCAAAAAGTACATAGCATATCATACAAAGGATTAAAGCTATACAAGGTCCATATTCATGCATGTTAGCTATAGCTGAACCTTGTTCTGCAAGCTACTGTACCTTCCCCTTATCTCCTTATCTGCTAAGTCAACCTTTGATAGAATAGAGCACTGATAGTAATGAAACCATAGCAGCAAAAGCCGCAGTAATGCCCACCAGCATGCCTGCCTGCTTACTCAAGCAGCTAGTTTTGGGTGAAATTTGTGCTAGTGCAGCAGCAGGTGCCCTGGTAGTCACCTATGATAACATAGTACTGAAGCCTCCTTAATCATATCTACACATGCTGCTGCCTGCTGCTTGTCTATAGGATAGATAAAGGCCTGGATGGATCTCTTCCTGGATCCCTGTTGTGTTAGGAGCCTGGTTGTCTCTGAGTCACCCTCTGGAAGTACCTTCTCTTTTAGCTAGAGAAGATTGCACTCCTGTTTCTGGTGCATGTAGATAGGTGGGATTGATCCAGGTCAACGTCTCTGCATTCTTGGCAGCACACTGATTGCTACCTGTTCTTTCTCCTTTTGGCCAGTCCCATGTCTATGGGATTTCAGCCTCCCCTTTAATTTCCAGTGTAGGCATGAGAAGAAGAAACCTTGCCAGGCTGATTGAAGAGGAGCAGGGAACTCCTGCATTTAAGGGTTCCTCATCACATCTGAAAGAGCTTTACTGTTTTCATGCTTTCACTTCTCCTCACCTGGACAGGCTTTTTTGATTTCTCTCTATGCAGCCAAGCAGGAAAATACCACACAAGTAAACTGAGGCACTTGCAATATTTATGTGAAATAATACATGCAGCTTTCTCATTTTCTACACTTGTACAGATACTTGTCGTTTGTTTTGTTCATCTGAAAGTGCTTATGATATAACCCCCTGGGAGCTCTTCCATATGGGGAATGAAGATTCAAAGTCTGCACGTTCACAAATGGCAGCAAAATTCCATCACTTAGCGCAGAACTGCTATTAAATGGAGAGCAAACAAACGTTAATTACAGGTTCATTGCACAATACAAACAATATTTCCTTAAGCATTCATTATCGCCAAAACAAGCCTTTTTGGCAGAACTTTTTAATTTTTTTATTTTTTCCAGAATACGAAGTTATTTCTGTTTTCATCTATTAAGTAAAAGTTCTGCTATGGGCTGTGATGTTTAGGATTTTAGTTCCAGGTAGTCGTCGTCTTCTCACTCTCCACTCTGAAAAATAAATCCTAGAGGTCCTTTATTCAAGTGCTTGCATGATACACACTTACTCTTGAGCTGTTCCTCTGCTTTATAGCGCCCATCAAATGTGGGGGAGCACCTTATGTCAGATTGGAGTTCTAAGTTCTTGCTGCAGTGCAGACAGTCTGCTTATTTTACGCTAGTTTGCATAAAGATTAAAGTTGCACTGTTGCTACCTGAAAACATGTGAAAAAAATCTTAGTTTCTGTTCCTCCAACAGACATTTTAAATGGAACAGTGAAGATATTAAAATAAACCTGCCGTTTTATTGTTGGTAATTTGG